ATGTATGTATGTATGTAAGTATCGCCGGAACCAAAGGTTCCGCCTTGCTTAGCTAGGCGACAGACTCGTTCGCTGTGTCCTGAAGAAGAAAGTATGTGTTTATGTATGTACTGTGTGTAAAGTATGTAATGTATGGATGTATGTATTTGTATGCATGCATGTATGTATGTAATGTATGTAGTGTATGTAATGTATGTAATGTATGTAATGTATGTAATGTATGTAATGTATGTAATGTATGTAATGTATGTAATGTATGTAAGTAAGTAAGTCAGTAAGTAAAAAAGTACGTATGTATGTATGTACGCACGTATCTTTGTGTGCTTGTTTGTCCGTTTGTTTGTCTGTCTGTCTGTCTGTCTGTCTGTTTGTCCGCCTGTCTGTCTGTCCGTCTGTCTGTTTGTTTGTCTCTATGTTGCAAGTACGGTCGGATATCGGCTGGTGTATGTTACTGCACAGCTTTGTCTATACATTCATGCAGGGATATACCATAGCTTCCAGAGACAAAAAGCTCTCCAGTCCAAACACTTTGACACACTTTACGATTATCTCGCAGGATTGAAGACCTTGTATCATTTTCTCTCACAGCAAGTTCCGGCAACAGTAAAGTGCTGGAAGCAGCTTATTTTCCGCCACACTCGGTTTCGCTCCAAAGCCATCCGAGTTCCCACCAAGCCCTCAACCCTCAAGTCTGCATGCAGACACTGGCAGCGTAATGCTTTTAGCCCTAAGGTGGTCCGATGACAAGAAATCCTGGTGCTGTGAATATGCGAACAAGGGCTGCCCAGCTCAAGACGTGCAGTGGGGGCCTCGGGATGAGATCACGATTGCGGTCCTGCTATTATATCGCCCTGTTGCTTCGTATTACTAGGATCATCCGCATTTGCTGTTGCTGTTCATATTCTTATCATGGCCCCATAGCACTTGTTAGCATGGCTGTCAGTTGTTGCTCTTGTCGTCGTCGTCGCCGTCGTCGTCGTCCTCGTGGTCGTCGTCGTTATCCTCCACCTCCTCCTCGAACATAGCGTGCTCGTCGCTACTGGCAGATGCATGTATAGAAATGTTGCTGCGCTCGCTGCTGCCTTGAGTTCCTGTGTGTGCGTGTGGGTGTGGGTGTGACTGTCAGCTGTCTCAGTTCATAGTTAATGTGATGATGATGAGGAGAAGAAGGAGGAGGGTGATGATAATGATGATGATGATGACGATGATGCTAGTGATGATGGGGGTTTGTTTCGCAGATTGGTGCCAAATAGATTCCTGATTCTGTCAACCTTCAGACCTAGAGAAAGTCTTGACATTCGTGTGACGGAAATGCAGATCTGGCAGTACTCAACCCCTCAATCCAGACAGCCTTGTTGACGGGGTTGCCGTTTCGGACAAACCCTCAACTCCACAGCTTGAGGTCCAAGCCCTTAAACACAATGCTGTGGGGGTCTGGGGCCTTGGTAAACCGAAGTGTACCTTGGCCACCTTAGATTGGCCGTGTGTTGACATGCATGTTGCGTGCGTGTTTCCTGCTGCTGCCAGTTCTACTCGCTGAAACTTGAAGCCTGAACACTAGACCGTACCGTCCTCAACGCGTACTGTAAACCCTCGGACTTGACATCCGAATTAGATTACAAGAAACGTCCATGCCCAGCCAGCAGTTTTTGAGTTCCAGAATTTGAGGGTTGGTGTTTCCAACTAACGAGTTGAGGTTGAGGTTTTGGTGGTTTGGGGTTTAGGGTGTGAATGAAATTTTGGGTTTGGGGTTTTTCAGGCAGACCAGTCGACGACGTTGAAGAGTCGGATGCAGGTTTTTGGGGCTGTCTCGGAGATACCCACTTTTGTACATCATGTTCAGCCCTGGGCTTATAAAGCGAGGAGCCTGCTGCAAACGTTCAGCCACCCCACCCCTCCCCCCTCAACGGCAAACGCCCCGGCATTGACCCTCCGTCCTCTCAAGCAGGGAGTTTTGACGGACGAAGTACTATATTCGTAACTATCGGGATCAGGCCTTGAAGCCGCAGTTTCCATCCTGCGATCCAAGCCTAGGACCCAGTACTCTTGCGACGGGCCTCCCGAAAGCTTCACGCCTCAGCAGCAGGCAGCTTCTTGGAGATGTTTTGGTGTAGGGTTATGGATGTAGAGTTCGTGATTTCGTGGATGCAATGGAGCCTCATCGGGTTCCTCAATTTTTGATCCTGAAGGCATGTGGCTTTGTGTTTGGGTGGAAGTCGGGATCGTATAGAAATAGTTAAGCGCTAGACCCTGAAAACCTTTCTGAAAGTCAAGCCTTAAACGCACGACTCCTAGGTCCTAAGCCCCTCGCTAGCCCTGCAACCAGGCAAAGCTGGAGGGAAGGACCGAAGCTTCAACCAACCCCTGGTTCAGCCGCCGAAACGGTTTGGGGATGTGTATATATCATTGTCAATGATTTGCTGGCGCGAGGGTTTCGAGGCTTCTTGAGGGAGGCATTATTCTAGAGCAGGGGGTGGTATCACTTTCTGATGCTTGCGTGGAGTCCTGGACTTAGTGCCAAGGCTTTTGAGGCGCGGGCTGAAGGGCCAGCAAGGTTTCTATGGGTGGACAAGGTTGAGATGCACAGGATTCCGATTAAGTTCCAAGCCTGGTGGGCTTTGCGGGCCAGTGCTACTACAGTTTTGGATGTAAGGTTCAGGGGTTGAAGGTTGAGTTGTGGCTCAAGGCCCAGCTCAGAAGTTCTGTGCCACTTGTGGGTAGAAGCTCTCTCGCAGGCGTACTGCTGCGCTACCCTGCGCATCGGCTGCATGAAGCCGCCCACCACGGTCCCCTTCGACTGCACAGCTGGCTTGGCTCACAGTCAGAGTGCATGGATGTGCATTGTATGGATGTATGCCAATGTATGCATGTATGTGGGTAGGTAGGAAGGTAGGAAGGTAGGTAGGTAGGTAGGTAGGTAGGTAGGTAGGTAGGTATGCATGTCTGTGTGCACGTGTACGAATACATGTGTACAAGACGCAAGTGGAGGGCGTATATCCACATGTATCCCAAATGCATGTCGGCCTCTCCTTTCTCAACATGGCTCGACTTAGCGATGGGCTGTCGAACAGGGAGTTGAAATGAAATCCCGAATGTTTACTCTGGAAGCCGTGGGTAAGGTTGAGTGTTCAGGGCTTGTTTCTGGTGACGGCGCCTGTACGCGCCTATGTGTTTTTGCACATTTCAGGCTATTGGGGGGTTGGGGGGGAGGGTGGGGGGGGGGGGCTAATAACATCATCTTCTACTCCAAGCTGTTAGACTCGTACTAGGTCTACTACTGCTGCTGCCTGCTTGCCTGCTGCCCTTTAGGCTGGTGGACTCGTACTGGCTCTAGGCTCCATTACCCTCGTTTGCCGCACTTTGGGGGTGGGGTTGGGGCGGGGGGGGGGGGTCGGGGGAATGATGACGTCTTGATGCCATACATCCGCATGATGATGTGCTCATTGATGATGTCGTCATCCCATCTACTGCTGGTCCTACTCCTGGCACTACGGGTTTTCTACTGCTGCTGCAGCTGCTGCTCAGGGTTTACTGTTTTGTTTGCTGTTTATGGGTGAGCCAGAATCACTACGCAGCGAATTACCTCCAGCATCAACCCAGTCCTAAACCCTAACGCAAACCTAAGTCACGTCAATGTTCTAAATTCAGTTTTGCTCCGCAGCCTCTTCAAAAATAGGTTTAAAACCCGAGCGAAAGCTAAGTTAAGGCCAAAGTTTACTTCAGCCTCTAGTGTTTCGCGCACCTGCCTTAACAAGAATTCTTCTTCAGATTGCGCTCTCGCTGTGGTTTCGCGCGTATCCATGCAAAACTCTTCATTCTGGAATGTGTAAAAACGCATAGGCGCGTACAGGCGCCGTAACCTTGTTTCTCCCCTCTGCATCTTATGTAAGTTGTTGCGTCCTGGTCGCCCGACGGTTCCTGGACTTTTCCGAACCTTCAACTCTCAATCCTGACCGCCAAAGAGAGTTGGGGTCCGACGGCACAGTGGAGAGCTGCCTGAATGACGTTTGTCGCTTCGTCAGCTCCTTCCCCAACTTGTGCCGAGTCGAAACAAGTGATGCGAAATAGGCGCCGCCTCACCTATCCGTAGCTTCAACCCCCCAGTCGAGGCCTCAACAAGTGGCGAGAGGGCTGGTCACCAAGGAAGAAGGAGTGGTGCTGCGAGGACAGGCAAGGGTATGGGAAGGTGTGGCCAGAGTTGACATTTATACCCCTGGTGGCTACGGAGTTTTTGCCCAAGGAAGACCGGGTGGGGTAGTAGGGAATCCCAGCACCAACACAAAGTTGATGTCGGAGTTGCTTTGCACATTATTCCATGCAGTTTCGAAGGCTAGCTCATGGAAACCATCAGAATGCAAGATAATTCCCGAAGGCATTTCAGAGCATGGTCGGGCCAGGAGTTCAAAGTGGGCTGCGAAGACCATGGGCAGTTTGACTGCGACGATGGCTTTGAGCACTGGAAGGCACAGCTCAGCGTCGCTTTGGCCGATCTCACAGTTCTAACACGAAGCACACCTAAGCGAAGATCCTTGTGCAAACAAGCATCCAACCGCGCAGCATCGATCCGAAACACAGCCCTACTGCAAAGCAAACCTGGCTCGACTGAGAAGCCTCTTCTGACCGACCTTGTCGAGAGTAAACGATAGTCTATGTAATCGAAAGAGGCAGCTTCAGGGGAACCTTGCTGTGCGTCTGAAACATGCGTATCAGTGACAGCGCATGAGAGGCCACCAGCCCTTATGCTAGTTGTGGCAGTAGTGGTAGTAGTGGTAGTAGCGATAGTAGTCGCAGTAGTGGTAGTAGTGCTAGTAGCAGCAGTAACAGTATCAGTGGCAGTGGCAAGAGCAGTAGCAGCAAATCGCAGTATTAAAAGTCGTCACCCTCGTTCTCCTCGTCGCCCTTCTCCTCGTCCTTGTCTTCGCCGCCGCCGGGTGGTCGTATTTTGCTGATCTGGATTTTTGTCGTGACTACTATACAGTGACTGTATTCGCTTTTAAGTGCAGTGTTGCCGTCAGTCTCGTTGTGATTGCGTTGCCACTGTTTCATCGGCCGACAGGTAAGTTGGTCCCTGGACAAGCAAGCCTTCTGCTGTGACACGCAAGGGCGTAAGGGCCTCTTTCCGCTCGGGTGTTGGGTCCAACCTTCTGAATTGTTTCAGGTTTCGGGCTGACTAAGGTTCAGCGTTTTCGGTCTTCCGACTTGCAGGTTGAGTTGAGGGCTTCAAGTGTGCAGGTGATGTTGCCGTATGTTGTGCTTCGTTCGCCGTTTGAGGCGCCTGATTGAAGACCTTGTTTTTTTGTTGCGGTTACTGTAGCAGGTTCTAATCCTGGGATAAGAATAAGTAATAAGGATATCATACAAGAGATCATCCATAGAAGAATCCCGAGGCGGCTGTGTGGTGACGACGACAGAGCGCTTCGACTGCAAGGCAGGCTTGGACGACTGGGAGGCCCTCCCTGGGAAGGGTTGAAGGCTGTCCTGGTGTCAGCGTGATCTTGCCGAATCTTGTCATAAGATGTTCGCTTTGTGCTAGTTTGCGACGGCCGAGGTTCAGGGCTGGGGGGTTTGGGTCTCAAGGAACGCCAGGGCTGCGGGCACCTGCGACAAGCTCCCACGAAGTGTTTTCCAGTTGTTCCTGCCTCACAAATTAGACTTCCGGATTGTGCGTCAAACCTGCTGACACACAGGGTTCTCAGTACCTATAAGGCGCCACGCCTTCTCCCGGTCATTGCTGAAACTAGAAGCCTCATGCTTGCGTATACATAGGTGAGATATCCTGCATTAAACTCGGGGCCCAACACCTGACCGAGCTGTTAACCTCAGACTGCCTGTGAGAGGCCCTGTCACACCGAGGTTGAGTTCACCGTAGAATGCTTAACATCAAAGCCGTTAGGGACACGGCTAGGGTTGGGGCAAGGTTGGGCAGGGACACGGCTTGGATTACGGCTGTACATGGCTAGCAAAGGTAAGGACACGGCTTGAATTAGAGCAGGTTCATGGCCAGCAAAGGTGAGGAAACGGCTGGGGCAGGTGAATAGGTAGTAAAAGGTGAGGACACGGCTTGGCTTTGAGAGGTCACACGGCTAGCGCAAGTGAGGACATGGCTTGGGCTGGGCAAGCCAACCCCAACTGCGAAAATGCAAGAGCGCGGCGCTGTACTTGTAGTGCATGCAGAGCGACGGAAAGCTTCTATGGTCTGTCTTATCACTTATTACTTATTACTTCATTACGACTTTTTACTAATTACTACTCACTACTTGCTAATGACTTGTTACTTATGACTTGTTACTAAAATTATTACTATATTACCTATTGACTTATTGAGTTACTCGATTCGGATTCCGATTATTTATCTACACCACTTGAAGTTACATATTCTTAATAAAGATTTAGTCCGTCATGAGGCAGGAGTCATGGATCATAATTATAATGATAGAAATAAACAAATCTGATTTAAGTAAATACATCTAAATTTAATTTGTCTGCGTCTCAATGAATTCCCCTGCATCCGCCCCTTCCGGGCCCCCTCCCCTCGCCTGAGCCATGTCCTTTCGGGAAGTCTTCGGAAGTCCGAAGTCCTCGCAAGTCCCAAGCCGTGTTCCTCGCAACACCTGAGCCATGTCCTTTCGGGAAATGCTTGGAACTTCTCGGAAGTCCTCAGAAGTCCCCTAGCTGTGTTCCTCGCAACACCTGTGCGAGCCATGCCACTTCGGGAAGTCTTGGGAAGTCCACGCAAGTGTGTCCCTCAAAACACCAGAGCCATGTCCTTCTGGGAAGTTTTCGGAACTCTTCGGAAGTCTTCGGAAGTCCTCGCAAGTCCCAAGCCGTGTCCTTCAAAACACCTAAGTGATGTCCTCTCGGGAAGTCCTCGGAACTCTTCGGGAGTCTTCGGAACTCTCGGAGTATGTGAACAGTCACCAAAGCCAGTGTCTCAGAATGCTTGTCATTATTTACCAACGACAGGACACGGCTTGAGTTCCGAGGACTTTCGGGGAGGTTGTGTTTTTTCTGTTGCTTCTGGTGCTTTTGCTTTTGCTCCTGATTGGGAATCCTGGTGCTCGGGATGATCTTTGCAGCCAAGGGACTGCACGAGGCCGCGGGGTACCGCTCGCGTAGTATAGGCAGTGGCAGTAGCAGCGGCAGAGGTCATGTAAGCTGGCTGCAGCTTATTCATAGGCTCCGTGGGTTCAGCAAAAGGTGCAGTCAATTTGCGGTTTTTTGACACGGTATGTGTCTTAGAGAACCGAACTTTTTCTCTTCCGTCGCATGGGAATCCACTCTGATTCGATGCCTGAGGGCACACATGCAGCCCCACCGAAGGGAGCTGTTTTGTAGGCGTGGATGCAGGAATCTTTCGGCCCTTCCATCCTTAATTGATAGCTGAGTGAAGGGCCCCGGTCCCTAGAGTGGGTCGGCTATGAGTTTGATGGGGAGCTCCCGAGCTCCAAACTGACCCGGCTCTGAGTTTGATGTATGGCTCCCCGGCCCCAAATTCGATCTCATTTGCTGGTGCTACTTTCCGGCTGTGTGTTTAGTCTGTCTTAAACCTAGTTTTGAATCATTACAGGAGGGAGGCCGGTTTGAACAAGTCCTCACAAGTCCCAAGCCGTGTCTTTCAAAACTCCTTGTCCTTTCGGGAAGTCCTCGGAACTCCTTGAAAGTCCTCGCCAGTCCACGCAAGTCCCAAGCCGTGTCTCTCAGAACACCAGAGCAGCCCTTTTGGGGCTGAGCCGTGTCCTTTCGGGAAGTCCTCGCAAGTCCTCACAGGTCCCAAGCCGTGTCCCTCAAAACGCCTAAGCCATGTCCTTTCGGGTAGTCTTCGGAACTCTTCGAACGTCCTCGCAAGTCCACGCAAGTTCCAAGCCGTGTCTCTCAGAACACCAGAGCAGGCCCTTTCGGGAAGTCCTCGGAAGTCGTCGCAAGTTCCAGGCCGTGTCCTCTGGGGTTAGCAGAAGCAAAAGCACCAGCGGAACAGAACACGAGCACAAAATTCGCAGCTAGACCGGAAGTTTTAGCAGCAGGAAATCCGATCACGTTCGTACAAATCTGACGCGATTCCTCTGCACTCTTTTTTACAGTTGGATCAGACGAGCACCAGAAAAAGCACAAACTCCTAAACATGAGCAGAAGCAAAAGCACCAGCAAAAGCAATAGAAAACACCACAAAATGCGCGCACTAGAAAAAGCACTAACTCCAAAACTAGACCACAGGAAAGCACAAGAAAAAACGCAGACTGACCCGGAGAAACTATGTCATAGGAAACACCAGCTAAAAAGCGCAAGATTCGTTTTTTCCATAAGTTCGAGCACCAGGATTCCCAAACAGGAGCAGAAGCAAAAGCACCAGAAATAGCACCAGCAAAAAGCACAAACTCCCCAACATAAGCAGAAGCAAAAGCACGAGAACAAGCTTTAGAAAAAACACACAAACTCACAACACGTGTGAGTCGTTTCTTTCGCCCGCAAGCACAGGCCCGGGCCAGGACCCCAGAACAAGTCTGGCCGGCCGAGCACAAAGAGCCCGACCCGGTCCGGCCTGCCGCGATCCCTGTACTAAATATGGGGGAGCCGGAGCCCGTCCGGCCGGCCAGGACCTCAACCCAGTACTAGATATCAGAGAGTCGGACCTGGTCCGGCCGGGATCCCACGCTGTTTTGAGTGTGAAAGAGCCCGACCAGGTCCAGGATTTGGCTGCTTGTTCAGCCCAAAGTATGGAGTAAACGATGTTGGTCCCGAGTCCTAGGGTCTCCTGGTCAGGGGGAATACTATGTTTGGACAGTGGGATTCAGAAAGGGATTCGGTGGCATAGACCCGAAACACCAGGCTTGTCAAAACCAACTATGATCACACCCAGACCATAATTTCCGATTTTGCCTGGTGCTTTTTCTTGTGCTGCTGTTTATGCTCACTATTACAGGGGCGCGGCCAGTTTGAAGGATTTTCGAGGACTTCCGAAGAGTTTCGAAGGCTTCCGAGGACTTCGTTTTGGTGTTCTGACGGACACGGCTTGGACTTGCGTGGACTTCCGAGGACTCCCGAGGAGTTCGGAGAACTTGCCGGACAGGCCTGGTACCAAACCACGTTTGCCGAGCAGGCCTGGTACCAGGCCGGATCAGGGGTGGGGGTCGGGGGAGAGGGGGGTGGGGGGAAGGAGTCTTTTGGGGGAGGTTGGGAGTCTGCGAAAGTTTACGCAAGTCTGCGGAGGCCTGCGAAAGCCTGCAATTGGCCCGAATCCAGATTTTTCGGCGGATTTGAGTCCGCAAACTTCTTGCAGACTTCCGCACACTTCGCACTCACGCAGACTCCCTTTTCCCCCCTTTTTCCGACCCCCACCTCCCCCTCCCTCCTCCTCCCCTCCCGTCCCCTCACAACAGAAACATTTCCACTGGCAAAACTCACGCCGAGACAACGCAAAGAAACAGGGGCATCACATGGTGAGCCACCAGACATGCACTTCAAGCAGCCCGAAATCCGGACCCGAGCGCAACCAAATCGAGTTAATTTTAAGCCTGTAACAGACTAAACCGTATCGAAGAATCAGACACTTATGGACCGAGCCGGATCCCAGAATGAAGCCTTTTTTACACTAGACCATATCGTTTCTGCATTGGGCCGGCTCCGATAAGTAGACCTTCATAGACTGAGCCATGTCGCCCATTGAAGTTGTTGATGACTGAACCATATCCATGTTTGGTGCAGGACCTGGCCGCCCTTTTATCAGTCAATGATGAGCATTCCACAGGGTTCACAGCACCTAGGTGTCAAGAGCAAGCCTCACTGCCCAAGCTCGAGGATGCAAATTGCTGACTCTGTGGTGCAACGCTGCGTGCGCAGCCTCTGCACAATGAGTGGTAGATATAGTCATCATGCTACATAGGCCCCCACAAGATGAGCATTATTATCTCGCATGTTGATCTTTTCAGAGCTATCCTCAATTCGGGACCATCGTAAAAAAAACCCAACTCCTCACGCCCTTTCCCTCTTCCCGGAACATCTCCCAGTGAAGGTCGGCTGGTCCCATGCCAAGAAGCTCTGGTGCTGTGAGACGTGCCACTGGCCTCGTTGCAGCCGCGCCCAAGAGTTGGGGGTGAAGCGCATTTCAGGCGGACGGTTTCAGGTTTGAGATCGGCGTCTTTCACGGCCTCAGGAGCAAGCAAGACACCTAATCAGTACCTAATCATTCCTTGGGCTTCAGTCAAGCGCCTACAATGCAAAGCCACACCGATGCCAACAGTTTGGAACGAAGCCTGCATTGCCTGCATCGTGACAACTGTGGATTGTGGATCTGTGGCAGCCGGGCTCGGCTTGACGGCATGTGCTACGACCAGGCATCGTGTCAGGTGTTTCTGCTTGTCCTCCTTGACAGCGCACCGACACGAAATGGCGAGTGCTCACGGAAGAGTCGTGCAGTACTACCAGCACTTCGCAACCATGACAGGAGCAGCAACAACACCTCTAACTCTATGTTCCAGGTGATGTAAAGCATTCAGAGTATATACGCAAGCAAACATGAAGGTGCGAACGAGGTGATCAGCCTGGTGGTCACCTGTCCCAAGTCACGGGCGTCCCAGATCGAGTGGCATAGTGCAGTTAAGGTTTGTAGTGGATTTGCCGCTGCAGTGAAACAAACGGCGTTGCAGAGGTTCGATAGCCGGTCCTCGGTATCATGTCTCCTGCTGAGTTCTTGCAGCTGCTCCACGGAATTGACTCCTTAACCAGGCTTGGTAAGCTTACGCAAATAGCCTGCCACAGAGATTTGCCAAACAGTTTTAGACACGATTGGACTTGGATGTTGTCCTTTGCTTGGAACACACTCAACGCATCCGCAAACTCCAGCAAGCTACAATAGGATCAATAGAACCAACGACCCAGACGAGAAACCATGTTGGAAGTTCTAATGCCCAACGGGATACTAGGCGCATCAGTACGTAGTGGTACTTACAACAAAACCATCCTGCAACACTGATATACTGTATACTAGTGCGTAGCACCCTTTGATATATAAGGGAAAAGACTATTGACAACAGCTGAAGAAGTGTAGCAGCGCGTTGAGAGCATGTGATGCCGCTCATCCACAGAACTCAGCATGGAAGTTACAAGGGCTATACACCCAAACAGGAGCCATCTGCAACCTTGACCCATAGGTCATGGGATCTGAGCGCGAGCCTGCCGCTAGAGGCAGCACCCACCTTTTGCAATGTAGAGAGTTGACAGCTCCAAACCCCGAACCCTGCCAGGTACAGCACGGGCTGTCGGCCCCCAAGCAAGGTTGAAGACAGCAAATGTTGGACCCTGCGCTAGTAACTTCGTCATGTAGATGTAGGAGTAGGGCTGAGGGATCAGATTCTCTCGCCCTCGTATACAGTATGGACTTGCACCTAGCCCACTTTCTGTTTTGCAGTGTTGCGCTTTGCAAGGGTTGCTGTGAAAGTCTGCCGCTCCACGCGGGCAGGATTTCAGGAAATTTCTCCGCCCTTTTGACTTGGCTGATTTCTGGAACTGCGAAGAAAGGGAGCCATTGAAACCCTGCAGCCAGAAAAGCTGCGAGACACATTGGCCAAGTTGTCGTGCCTGGCTTTACCTCACCCGAGACCGTGGGAAATGAGATCATTCGAGGCGACATCCACAGCCACACTATTCCTACAAATTGCCTGAGTGCAGTCCTAGTTAACGGCACACCACCCACAAACTTCAAAAAGTGCGTATGTATATATATATATATGACATAATATACACATAACTTACCCTCTCTATGTAAGTAAGTAAGTAAGTATGTATGTATGTATGTAAGTATGTATGTATGTATGTATGTATGTATGTATGTATGTATACACACTGACATATACAACTAATACATGTATCATCACGCATATACATATTAATGCATGTCTTCTTTCGGCTCCTTTTCTGAACAAAAAGCTTCGGGCGCCCAGGGCCAATGCTGAGTGCTGAGGATGTGTAGCCACTACGTGAGACCCTTCGAAGCTTCAAGCATCTAAACCGGCAATCTAAACACCGGAAGGCATCTCCCCCTCACCGACAAGCCGTCAACCTTTCAGTTGACTTTGAAGGTTGTTAATGTTCTGAGCATTGAGCTCTTCTGGCCATCGAACTGGGCAACTGGGCCTAAAGCCCTTAAAGGACAATGTGTAGGCGTTCGAACAGTAGGAGCGGCATCCATGGCCCTACACCCTGCGCACCCTGGTTCCACCGAATAGCCGTCCTGGACGCCGGCAGGCACAGAAAAAAGGGATGCAAACGCGCCCCAAACCCAAGACCATAACACCCAAGACCCCAAACCTTAAACCTTGAGTCAAAGGCTCCAAACCCCCAAGCTGAAAACCCTGAACCCTAGTTCCACGCGCCTGGCTGCAAGGTGAGACGACCACGAACCCCGACCCTTACGACTGCTCCAAGGACGTCAGCAACTGGGAGGACATTGCCTGTGTCACAGGTTAGAGTTTGGGGGTTTGGGGCTTCAGAGTTTTAAGGGCGACAGGCGTTTGTGTAGGGCTTGACGGTTTGGGAGTTTGGTAGGGTGTCCGCGGGCGTACGGTTTCCTAGTCCCCGCCGCAGTGTTGAGCGGACCTCAGTTTTTGTCCGTTTTGGTCAACAGCATTGGTAGCCTCCTTCCTGGTTTCAAAGGTTACTAAGAGTTCTCAGAGTACCGCAGACCGCAAGCGTCGATTGCCGATTTCCTAGTCTATTGAATTTTTGAACGGGCTAGGCATTTTGCAGGGCATAATCTGCTCTGCAGCTCAGTCAGTGGTGGTCTAATAAAGTTAAGTGGTCGGAGCTGCAACAGTTTGCAATACTACGCAGTGATACCGTTACCTGGTGTTGCTTCTTTTCCGACCCAAACTGGCATGTTCCAGGACTTGTTCCTCTAGTGGCATTCGGGCGTCGGGTATAAAGTTTTCCGTGACAGTTTACTTTTCTGGGAGTGTTAGGCGTTTCTCTGAAAGCCCCTAGTTCCACAGTATTCCATAGCAGGACCAGCGGAAGGTCCATGCTTTCCCAAGTTTTCCCTGGCAGACAGACAGACAGACAGACAGACAGACAGACAGACAGACAGACAGACAGACAGACAGACAGACGGACAGAGACACACAGAGAGACACACACAGAGACACACACAGAGACACACACAGCGACAGACAGCGACAGACAGACACAGTCAGACACAGACAGAGACAGACAGAGACAGACAGAGACAGACAGACACAGACAGACACGGACAGACACGGACAGACACGGACAGACAGACACAGAAAGACACAGACAGACACAGACAGACAGAGACAGACAGAGACAGACAGAGACAGACAGACACAGTCAGACACAGACACAGACAGACACAGACAGACACAGACAGACAGAGACAGACAGAGACAGACAGGACAGACAGAGACAGACGGAGACAGA